AAACAAATAAAATATTTTAAAAAGATGTTATAGTTAGCAGGCTACTGCTTAAGGACATTTTTATATTATGGAAAATTTCAAAGATGCTCAATAAGAGAGAGCTGTGAACCTGATACCCAGCTACAACAATGATCAACTCACAGACATTCTTAATTCATTTATACCCCATCTCATGTCCTACCTGTCCTGTCTCTACAGGATTATTTTAAAGCAAATATCAGACATTGCATTATTTAATATATCCTTTATATAACATAATAAGCAGATCACAAGGAAATATGCTTTATATGATTTTATCTTGGTAAACTGTATGTATATAGGAAAAAGTCAGATAGAATAGTGATCTCTGAATGAAAATATTATGAATGATTATTGACATCTTCATTTACTTGTGTATATTTCCCACAGTGGACCTGTGAGAAAAGGTGATGGGGGTGGAGGAAGATGCTGACACTCCAGCTCCATTTCTCTTGTAAATTTGATTACTTTAATTCAGGCTGGGTACTTCACATTGTGAAACAGAAATAACCACTCAGCAGAGGATTCTTTCTGTCAGCTTGTTTTCTCCTTGGAGAGTCGGTAATTAAAATGAGCCACATTAGCTAGGTATGGTGGGGCATATCTGTTATACCAGCAAACTTGGAAGGCAGGAGGATCTCAAGTTCAAAGCCAGCCTCAGCAACTTATCAAGGTCCTAAGCAATTTTGAAAGATCCTGTCTTGAAATAAAAAAATAAAATGACTGGGAATGTGGCTCAATGGTTAAGCATCTCTGGGTTTAATCCCTGGTAACAACAACAACAACAAAATTAGTCACATTAGCATCTAACATTACAGCATGGTTTTTCAAACTTCAGCTCTATTGACATTTTTAGTTGGATGATTCTGTATTGTGGAAAGCTACCTGTCTCGTGGGAGAACGTTTAGTGTCTATCTCTTAAGTGTTGGTGTCTATCTCTTAAGTGCCAGTAATGCCTTCCCCCTCCCTCACTTGCAAACGTCCCAAGGGAGGCAAAATTATGCCTGGCTGGGAACCATTGCTCTACAGCATGTGTGCAAGTTGCAATGCATGGTGTCTAAAAGATTGCAGTAAAAGGTTCTGTTTCACTGGTTTTGTTGGCTGAAACCTTAAGGGGGATGTAATTTGTGCTCTGATGAAAGCTGCTATTGTGGTTAACTGACCCACACATTTAATTAACCAACCTATGACACAGCAATTAATGATCATCTGCATTTTTTGAAACATATCCAGACATGACAAAGATAAGTTCAACTCTATGAGAAAAGCAGAGGTCATGAATGAAAGATGGCTTGTCAGCCACGGTGGAGATCAGTTAGATTTGCCTTTCCAGCTTACCAACAGACCCATTTCACTATTCATTATTATCCAAGACACAGGGACATATTGTGTGGAAGTTAAAAATGGGAGATTTCTTTCCAGAAAATGAATGATGCTACATACAAACAGAATTTTTTGATTACTAATAAACACATAGACATAGTCGCAAAAGATAAGGGAAAAAGGTATTTAAATATTGCATTTAAGTTTTTTTCCATAATGGAAACATTTTATTGGAGAGCCATAGAAATGAGACAGGGAAAATATGAGCTCATCTTGCTCATTCTTTTCAAGAGCTGTACTGTTTTGTATGCATCATTGCTTCCCCACCCTGTTCTCTCCCCCAGTCCAGAGTCTTATCAAATACCCCCATTTTAATGATTTGAAATATTCCTCATGTTTCTCTTATAGAGAGAAACCCAACAATTAATGGAGGTTAAACGTTAGTAGTATCATGATCTTAAAAAAAGAAGATTATTTCTTTAGTACTATTGTTGATTGCATAGAATATAAAACTTCTAGCAAAGTCTACATCAGACATTGCTGATCCAGGTTTGTAAAGCATTGTACAAATTGTGTCTTAAATAGTATTATGCAATTATAGAACTTAATAGAGTACATTTGTGGTTTATTGAGTCTTAATGGTTGTTTTCTTTTTTTAATTTTTATTGTTGGTTGTTCAAAACATTACATAGTTCTTGATATATCATATTTCACACTTTGATTCAAGTGGGTTATGAACTCCCATCTTTACCCCATATACAGATTGCAGAATCACATCGGTTACACATCCATTGATTTACATATTGCCATACTAGTGTCTGTTGTATTCTGCTGCCTTTCCTATCCTCTACTATCCCCCCTCCCCTCCCCTCCCCTCCCATCTTCTCTCTCTACCCCATCTACTGTAATTCATATCTCCCCCTTGTATTTTTTTCCCTTTCCCCTCACTTCCTCTTGTATGTAATTTTGTATAACCCTGAGGGTCTCCTTCCATTTCCATGCAATTTCCCTTCTCTCTCCCTTTCCCTCCCACCTCTCATCCCTGTTTAATGTTTATCTTCTTCTCATGCTCTTCGTCCCTACTCTGTTCTTAGTTACTCTCCTTATATCAAAGAAGATATTTGGCATTTGTTTTTTAGGGATTGGCTAGCTTCACTTAGCATAATCTGCTCTAATGCCATCCATTTCCCTGCAAATTCTATGATTTTGTCATTTTTTAATGCAGAGTAATACTCCATTGTGTATAAATGCCACATTTTTTTTTATCCATTCATCTATTGAAGGGCATCTAGGTTGGTTCCACAGTCTTGCTATTGTGAATTGTGCTGCTATGAACATCGATGTAGCAGTGTCCCTGTAGCATGCTCTTTTTAGGTCTTTAGGGAATAGACCAAGAAGGGGAATAGCTAGGTCAAATGGTGGTTCCATTCCCAGCTTTCCAAGAAATCTCCATACTGCTTTCCAAATTGGCCGCACCAATTTGCAGTCCCACCAGCAATGTACAAGTGTACCCTTTTCCCCACATCCTCGCCAGCACTTGTTGTTGTTTCACTTCCTAATGGCTGCCAATCTTACTGGAGTGAGATGGTATCTTAGGGTGGTTTTGATTTGCATTTCTCTGACAGCTAGAGATGGTGAGCATTTTTTCATGTACTTGTTGATTGATTGTATGTCCTCCTCTGAGAAGTGTCTGTTCAGGTCCTTGGCCCATTTGTTGATTGGGTTATTTGTTTTCTTATTGTTTAATTTTTTGAGTTCTTTGTATACTCTGGATATTAGGGCTCTATCTGAAGTGTGAGGAGTAAAGATATGTTCCCAGGATGTAGGCTCCTTATTTACCTCTCTTATTGTTTCTTTTGCTGAGAAAAAACTTTTTAGTTTGAGTAAGTCCCATTTGTTGATTCTAGTTATTAACTCTTGTGCTATGGGTGTCCTATTGAGGAATTTGGAGCCCGACCCCACAGTATGTAGATCGTAGCCAACTTTTTCTTCTATCAGACGCCATGTCTCTGATTTGATATCAAGCTCCTTGATCCATTTTGAGTTAACTTTGGTGCATGGCGAGAGAAAGGGATTCAGTTTCATTTTGTTGCATATGGATTTCCAGTTTTCCCAGCACCATTTGTTGAAGATGCTATCCTTCCTCCATTGCATGCTTTTAGCCCCTTTATCAAATATAAGATAGTTGTAGTTTTGTGGATTGGTTTCTGTGTCCTCTATTCTGTACCATTGGTCCACCCGCCTGTTTTGATACCAGTACTTAATGGTTGTTTTCTTGAAATTGTTAGACTCCTAATTCCAAAGAAAACTGTGTAAGCTACTTGTAAATCTAAACTTTATTTACTGACTTTAAACTATGCTTTCTTTTTGTTTTTCATGACAACATTTGGGATTTTCTTTAATAATAAGTAATTTTTAAAATTACTATTGAGTATTTTTTGTGGGCCGGGTATCATGTAGGTACTAAGCATATAATAGTTTTGCAATACTTATAATCCTACTATATATGTAGGTTTATTTATCCACAGAGAAACTGAGGCTCAGTGAGGTTAAGTACTTTATCTACAAGCTTCACATTGCTGACTGGCAGGGTCCTGATTCAAATACAATTTCAAGTAACTAGTCACAAGATGTAAGACTGTTTCTTATAGTTTGTGTGCAGAAAATGTACTTGTTTGAATCCATTAAAACACAGCCTGTATGCAACTTTCCTGGGGACTGTATCTAAAAAAAAAAAAAAGGGTTAATCATAATGAAAGGTTCAGGAGCCTAAGGATGTGGAGTGGTCAGAGAATGGACTAGTTTGGGTCAAGAAATCATGTCAGATGTAGAGAAAGAGTGTAAGTGCATTGTTCAGTGACAAAGAATAAATTAGGTCTTTCTTAAGCCAGAAAGGAAAGAGAATTTTAGGGAGGAGAGCTCCCTATGGAAAATTCCCAAAATTCAAACGGGGAGGGGGGCTAGGACTCAGTACTTGGTCTCTGTTGTCCATGCATAGACTTAAGGGAAAGAGAAGAGAGGTCAGCAGGGGCAACCTCACATAATAGCATGAAAAATGCAAGCATAAAGCCTCAGGGTGGGGGAGGACCTGGCTATGGTTTAAAAAAAAAAACAAACCAAAAATGACCCAAACCTAAACCTAATTCAAACCCACTTCAAACTGAAGGTGGGAAAGAATTCTACCGGCAACTGAAAATGGAACATGCAACACTGGACTGCAGGCTGTGAGCGTTCAGTCTGATTAATTAAGGTCAAGGTGATGATGGCAATACCAGCTGGGGAGTATTTTGCCCAAAGATAAATTTGTCCCTCTGTATCTCTGCAAGACAGCAGGGAGGTGTGTGTTTGGAGCTAAATTAATTTGATTTACATCATGCCATGGTAACTTCTGTTCTCTCTCCCTGCTGTCAGATGTCTTAGCTGGCTTTTCCCTCTCCTTCTTCACCCCCACACATTTCATAACACAGAGAGAAAGCACGGATTGGCTTCAGGCAGAATTTAGAAATGGAATAACTAATTTGATTATTCTGCAATGAGTGCTATTCTCTCTCCTCCTCTTCCCCACCCCCACCCCTATGCCTTTCTCAAGGGAGAGAAGTTGTAAACCCGAGCATAAGTATGATTTATTTTTATATCTCACTTAATGGCACAAACTGCTCGACAATCAGAGCTTGTTCCTTGTAGCAAAACCTGGCTGCTCACCTATCCGCCTCCCGTTTGTCTTCCAATAATACCAATACCAGAAGATGAAATTATGGCCAAGGATTCTATTAGAAACGAGCTTTTCCTGGCCTTGTGTCTTTCACCTCGGCCCGGCTCTGGAGATCAGGGCGGAGGTCGCTTCTTGAGGGTCCCCTGGTTAGTCCAAGCCGCTTGCAGCCCGGGGACCGCGCCTCGCCCCTTCCACCGGCCGGTTGCGCCCGGCTGGGCAGGATAAGGTTACGCTGGGGCTTCCCGGGTCGGAAGGGAGGGAGGCGGGTCCGAGCCCGTGCCCCGGCCCGAGGGGGAGTTTCCAGAGTTGGCAGCTCGGGCCTGCGGGGCCATCCCTGCTGGGCCAGGAGCTGCCTGCGGGACCCTGAGTGCAGTCCCGGCCCACCCCCGCCATGGTCCGGGAGAGGCCTCCCGGGAGGAGCTGCGGCGCCCTGCACCGGTGCCTGCTCGGCGCCGCGCTGCTGCTGGGCCTGCGACTCTGCGTCGAGCTGAGACGCGCCGGGTCGGGACCCTCAGTCCACAGCGCCCCGCGAGGCCACATCCCCCGACCACCCGGGCCGCACCTGCCACCAGCGCCCGTCCCGCCGCGCGGTGCAAGCAAGAGACAGGTGACCTACGTGCGCAGCGGGCGCAGAGCACCGCCGGGGGGCGGCGGGAGCGGGACGCCGGAGCCAAGCTGCTGTGCCCCTCGCGGGCGGCCCCGCCAGAAGGTCAGTTGCAAACCCAGCAGTCTTGGGCCTTGGACCAGAATCCCCCACCCAGGCCCTGCTAAGGAGTTCTCCGCCCTGGGTATGGCAGCTCGCCCTACGGGGACCTCAGAGTCTTCTCTTCTGTGCTCACTCAGGCGACTTCACTGGTAGCATCCTTCAGTGCCCGATGGAATGAAGCGGAACTGAGTTCAATCCATATTCAATCAGTGTTTGCTGAACATAGAGGATGTGTGTCAGGCCCCTTTCTGGGCTCCAGGCATCCAGCAATGAAGGACGAAGCCCTGTTTACTTTAGTGAGCGAAGGCTTTGAGTGATAGGCAGGAAAGGGAAAGGAAGCAGTCGTGGTTACCATTACGGGCTTGCCTGTTTTCCCCATGGAGGTCTGATAGCTGGGTGGGTATCCACAGTGAGTGGCTTGTCTCCCACCTTCATTGCAGCGATGAAGTTCCACCCCCCAGCCAAATTTCCCTGGAATCCCACCCCAGGTATTGATAGGGTGGCCGGACGGTGGTAAGAAGTCAAGCCCCCAGCGCCACTTAATGGCAAATTAATTGGATCTTCGAGGACCTAAGTAATAACTTGGGTTTGTCTTACAACGCTGTACTCTGTTGCTCTTCTTACCTCATTGATCTCTCACCGCACACCTCATTGAGTCGTCCAGTTTTAACCTCTGATTAAGCCTCTGGCCTCCCAGACTTCTTCATGGAACTCAAGAGTGGAAAGGTTAAGAACTGCAGGTGTCAGCCTGCCTTGTTCTTGGGCACATCACTCCCAATCCCAACACCAATTGTATCCTCTGAAGCAAACTCTCTCTCCTGCCTGGTGTTTCCTCTGTTCTAAGTATCACAAACCCCACACCCCACTCAAACCATGCTCTCCCATTGGCTCTGCTGCTTTCTCCGGCTGCCCATTTCTACCCTACTTTTCAATACCCTCCACCATTTATTTATTTATTTATTTATTTATTCTTTCTTTCTTTCTTTCTTTTCTTCTTTTTTTGTAGCAATTGGCATCTTTAATATTCAAGAAAATTAAGTCTATCATATACATTAAAAATATAGGAAATTTTATGCAGACATGAAGCTTCCAATTCAGCCTTTGTGGCAACTTTTTGAAGGATAACTTCCTTTTCAGGCCTTGTCCTCTGTCTTCCCCCACCATTGCTGTTCCTTTCCAGGCCATCCATGTTATCTTCCTGGATAAACCCAGTTGTTGTTGTTGTTTTTTCTTCCTCTTCTTTTTTCTATCTCTAAAACAGTACATCTTATGTAAAGTCTTAATTAGCTCTTTCATAAGAGAGCAGCCACTTCTTTCTCATGCTCCCCAGGTACTTTCCATGTCACTGTATTATGCATTCAACACACTTGCCAGGAGCTTGTCAGGTACCCAATTCTGGGGGCACAAGATGAGCTCAAAGTCTAGAAGGGGAGACGGTTAGTAGAGACATCTAGTGCTGTGAACAGTCTGCTAATTCAAATTTAGGCCTGGAAACTAAAGAAGGAAGAGTCAGGAGGGCAAACAGAGGAGGGGACGTTTGAGCCAGGACTTGACATTTCTTAAGAGTTTGGCTTCTTTTGTTCCTCTGTAGGTATCCTCAAATGTCGTATCCTTGATATACTTTACTACTCCCTGTCCCTTTTCTTTCAGATTCACTGTCAACATCTGTTGTTTCTGCTGTCACCTGTCCAAGAATTACTTTTAAGTCTTTGTCTCTATTTCAGACAATTGGAGCCTGTCTACAAATGGCAAGGTTTGGAATGCATAAACTCAGAGTCACATACATTCCCTTTAGTGGGATGCCCCAGAGATCCAGGCTGGAGACAGGAGTGGCTTAGGCAGGTCCATAGATGTGGAGGTGGTGAGCAGTGATGTGACACTGGATACATGTAGAAGATACATGGAGGAGCAGTTAGCTTCTGTTTGTTTTGCTTTGGTCGATGGACAGAAAGGAGAAGCTTGGTTTCAGGAATGTTAGGTTTGGGATATCCTTTAGACATTCAAGTGAACAATATCAAATAGGCAGTTGGACATATGAATCTGGGATTGAAGGAAAGGTCCAGGCTGAAGTAGTAATTTGGGGGTCATTCAGGTTCAGGTGGCACTCAAACCATGAGACTGAATGAGATCAACTAGGGAGGGAATGTGGCTAATAAGGACAAAAGACCCAAGTCTGAACCCTGGGACTCAATTTTATTAAAAATTAGATTAGAAAGAAAATAAAAAGGAAATATTTAGCATAGTGCCTAATGTGTCCAAGCACTCAATAACGATAGATTTAATTTTCACAAATCTGACTCAGCTCTATAGCCTCAGCCATTCTTCAAATGTAATTTGTTAAAACCTATTTCTGTTCCGACTCATGCTGACTCCTTTTCCTGCAAGGTCCCCATCCTCCTTTCTTCCATCCTCCTGCCCTTTCCATCCTTGAATGCTCAGGTCAAGGTTTATGGCCTGGAAACCTTCCCATACCAGTCCTATTTCCATGCTGATCTTGCCCCAGTTTGGGATGACAACAGCTATACCTTCTGTGAGCTGTGAGTTGTTTTGTGCATGTTGAGACCTGATAATTCATTTCAAATGGAATGTTTTGTCTCCAAGTTGTTCTCAATGGGAAGGATCGCATTTCCCATAGTGACCTCTAGCAAGGACTCCAGAGATTGAAGCGTAAAAATATAATCATCTTACTATTAGCTGATCATAGGTATGTCTTTGGTTATATTTTTTATATACTATATAAGAAAGAAGCAAATGGACTTAGTATTATTGTAAAGATATTAGGTTCTTAGCCACTTAAGGAAAAAGTTTCCCTGGATTTCCTTCTCTCTAAACATTTACTTACTTTCAGATATAAATCTAACTTCCCCAAGTTCCTAGAGAGCTAGGATCTTGAATTTGTTTCATTTTCCCATTATATCACAGTTGAATTAAAATATTCCTCAAAACTGGAAAAACCAGTTACTAATCTGTCTTCCCACTTCTGAGAACCACACTTAATATTCTATCTCTCTGGAGACAAATCTTGTTCCTTTTGAGCCTCACATCAAGACATGGTGTAATATAAGCTGAATGCACCATTAAATAATTGAAATAACATTTGGCAGTTATTTTTTAGGCTCTTGGGATTTTATTTTATTTAAATTTTGCTTGTTGGGAATACTGATCAACAATATTATGAAGTTCTTGATTACTTTGCCCCAGGCACCTACCAGACTGGTAAAGGAGAGCAAGTTCCATTCTATTTTGAGGACAGCTTTTTGGGTGGATGAAAACCTGCATGAAATAATTGGGTTGCCAGCGTTTCTTGTCACCATGCTTCCTTCGCAGGTGTTAGAGGCACAAAAATTCAGCAATTATATTGCCACTTTAATCATAGCTTATGCTACTCTTAAATAAAACATTCTGTTATAAAAAAGAAAAGTGTAGTCCTCATAAAATTCCTTCCCTCTTCTTGCATCCCCCTTTTTTCATCAAGCTGCATAGAAACTAGCTGTTATTAAGTCCTCTTGTACACCAGGAGTTATAATCTTAGAACTTTATGAAATGAGGACAAATGAGAAATGATGGATAAATAAATTCTGCCCTTTTTGATTGTGACTACCCTGGAAGCTATATATTCTTGTATGTTACAGATTTCTTTAAGCATTCCATCAGAGCTCTTAATCTCTGAATTTTGTATACTGAATATTCATAAAAATATCACTGTGATTATTTTTCTTTCCCTTCTCTCTCTTTTCCATCTGTGTATTATTATTATTATTATTATTATTAAACACATTTACTATAGTTCCCATAGGTGAAGTTCTTGGGGGGAGTGAATTTATAGAGGACTCAATATGGTCTCTGTGATTTATGCTTCTTCATGTAGATCTTGGGTGTATGCTGTATCTCTTAGAGCCTGGAACTCCATCTAAAAGACAACAGCTTTTAAAATAGAGGGTTCATCATATGCACAGGAGAGACACTTGCTCAGGGGCCAAGCTTCCTAAAGAAATGTCTTCTCTCTTATCAGAGACACGTAATTTGACATTTAATATGTTGGCTAGGAGAGTGACTTCTGAGTCACTGAGCTGCAAAATCCAGCAATGTGCTGGCTTGGTTTGTGAGTTATAGCTCCTTTGGAACAATGTGTCAGGGTGGGGGTGTGTGGTGGGGGGAGAGCTGTTTCCTCTTCTTCTGAAAACCCATATGGCAAAATTTGGTCTTTCTCATTTCTTGTCATCCTCCTCTTAGTTTTCTAATTCTGATTGTCAGCAAGAAGAATGAGGAAAAGTGATATAGCATGCCCCCCCTGATATATCCAACTGCATCGAGAGTCCTTGTTCTTTAAAAAATACTTGGAGGTAAGTTTGAATTTCTTGTGAAATATGGCTCAGCAGTAGTTTAGAGTCCCTCAGGTTTGCACATGTACCTACACTTCTGTTCTTCAGGAAGTAGCATGAATCAGTCCTCTCACACTGTCCTCAGGAGGCAAAGTATTTTCATTTTAAACAAAGTCATTGAGGGTAATTGAATGAGCTCCAGCAATATGTGGGTGTGAAATAGCAGTTGCTTAGTTTCATAAAGAAAAGCAGGTTTTTATTACAACTTTGATGTGCCTGCAACAGGGAATAGGGCTCTGCACTCTTTCCATACCCTGCAGTTAGTTCTCAGAGGGCACTCTGTGGGTAAAGGAACTGCTAATGGAGGCTGTATTGTTTTTCAACAACCGCTGGTTGAGATTTTAGGTTTTTGTGTGTAATTTGTCCAGTCCATTTTCTCTAAGGGAAAGAATGCCTTGTCAGTACTCTCAAATAGAATTAGATTTCCTATTTAGTCTGTGAAGAGAATCAGGGCCTCAGAGTTAAACTGGACACTGTCAAGGCTGGTAGGCGTTTGAGATTTTCCATCTGTGCAATGATACCTTTGGAGTTCTTGTGTTTATAAGGAGTTTGGCTCTCTGTTCTATGATTCATAGAAAGTAACAGGTGCCTGTTTAATTTGCTATGAGACATACATACACA